CGTGGGAGAGCAGGGAGTTTGCCCACAAGCCACTCTGATGTTCCCGTGCCCACCCAGCCCCGACATACCTGCACGCTCATGCATAAACAGGCTGCTCAATGCCTCCCAATGTGAGAAAAGCATATTTACAGTAGAGCATGCTAATCAGACTTAACTGGCTTTTCATTGGCCTAGGAGCGGGCTGTTGCGTCTGCAGTGGTTCAGAGAGCGGGATCACCTTACTAACTCCACACAAAGATTAAGAAAGCCGGGTAGGTTGCACGCTGAAAAGGCTGTATGTTTTGGATAACACTGCATGGTTTCATAAAGAGAAAGTAGTTGGTTTAAATATATGATTTGAAGCAAAAATTGATAGCTGACAATGGATGCATTCCAACATTTTATGCCTGATTTTGTGAATATGATACAAAGATAAGCAAATATAATGCTCAAGAGAATAAGTGACTGAATTAAGCAGTGTTTGTCCTGATTTCAGCATATTTTTATATAGAGCTGAATTTACTCTTATTTTTAACAGGGTACAATTTTTCTCTCATTTCAAGTTAGAAATAGTGTCTATATTTCTAAAACCTTGGTTCAAAATTAAACTTTTTAAAATATTATGCTGGTTCCCTGCTCTCCCCTGGTTCTTCTTCTGAATTACTTTTCTTGGACTTAACAGGGTGCAACAAAGGGTTCTTTTGGCGGGGATAACGGTCTCCGAAAAGGTGGTCGAAAAGAGGAAGCCCCCTCACTCGCTGTCTTGTCAATGAATTTTGTTGACATTGCCTGTTTAAAACTGTCAACAGCATGCATGCACATTACCAAGGAGAGTATAATAAACACGTGGAACCAAAAGTTAGTTACCTCAACTTTTAAGTCAATATTTATTTTGATGTAACTGTTGATTGAGCCGTATAGTTTATATTTTTGTTATGAAGGTGTTTGCGTTTGCTTGTGTGTGTATATTTGTATGTGTTTCCGTTGTGTTTTGTTTTGAAAAAATATAGATAACATACAAACACTATATTTTTTACGCCCTGTAATAATAATGTACATTTCTTGTTATAAAGCAGGTCTGTCAGTAAGAGCTTTCGCACCTTGTAATTGAATTAACGGCAAATTCTAAAGAGGATAACCACAAGTCATTATGTGGACATTAGCCAGTGCTTTAACATACTTTGGGATGGACCATAAGACTTAAAGCCCCTTCACTAATGCATGTATTTACAACCTTTCCACCAAAGCATCTTTGTGGCATGTTCCAGTCTGCAATTTACTTATCCAAGGGGAAAACCGGGGCCTCTGAGGGTGTGAAGCCAGGCTACGGGTTCATCAAGTGCGCCTGGCTATTTGCGGTGGGTCCGCTGAATATTAATGCATAAATTGATTTTTAATATGAGCTTGTACATGTCGTCTGCTTTCCAAAACCAACTGCAGGACTCAAAACAGGCAGTATACAAGGCTCCTCCTCGTGGGGTGAGATGTTAAATGACGCCTTTGATTCGAGTTGAGGCTGCCCGCGATGACCATTAGCCAGCCGCCTCTGTCAATACCCAACGTGTGCAGGGGCGCCGCAGAGCAAGAGTGTCCCGACCGGATTGGCACAAGGTGGGTATCCTGAGGCGACCACATCACTCCTATAGGCGGGTTGAGCGTGTGACATGAAAGCCTCTGGGATGGGGGTGGCATGTATTAGGTGGGGGGATAGTGGGTTTTTCGAGTAAACAGCTATTGCAAATAAGCGTGGGCAGGTCTACACAGTGGCGGTCACTGGGGTGATAGGGGAGAGACCGTAAGCTAATAATCTTTCGGGTTGAGTGACTGAGGGCATTTGAAAGAGCAAAAATCAAACCTTTTTCATCTTTCTGACTCAGAACTATCTGTATTTTAAGTAACAGGAAGTCACTAGCTATGAGCTCAAGGTGCAATCAAGTCAAGAAAAAGCATGTAAGGCGTGCAGAAATAAATAACAAAAATAAAATGTGCACTAAGTGCACACAATAGATAATTAGCAGAAATTGTTCATGTTTTTATTGTGTTTAGGGGTTTGCTTCATGTGGCTAAATGGGTTCTTTTCTCGTATGGTTAAGCGGTTCGATTATGGACATTGGTCATCCGCCTTGTGTTTTTGCATTTTATATATTGCATTTCCTGTGTTCAAACTGCTTGATTCCCTGATCTGTTATTAAGGAATCGGCAACTTTGTAAAGTCCTCAGAGAAAAATGTTGTCGTGATAAAGGGCTATACAAAAAATAAGTTGAATTGAATAGAATTCTAGTTTAATAAATGATAAAACAATGTCTTGAAAAGGCTTAGCCTGTAGGAGGCTTACTGCAATGTCACGCAAAGGCTACTGGAGTGGGATTTTTTTTTTGTGTTTTTCTTGGTGGGCGGTTTGGATGCGATGAAAGAAATAGTGAAGCGGTGGTCAGTGGCCGAGCACTTGATTATCAGGCATTGAAAGGTGAAACTTTCGTGAACACTTTTCCACTTTGTGCGTGCTCTATCCTCCATTCATGCGGGCTGAAGGTTTCTTGGATGAGCTCCGCCTGCGAAATCAAAGCTTCGTGCCGGGGCCTGACCATCATTTTGATTCAGAGTGGAGCCAAGAAACAAGCTTGCCTCTGTGCAGTGTTTTCTTGGCCCTTTTTGTGACTGTCAGAGATTTTGCAGTAGCAGCGGTGGAAATGGTATAGTAAAAGTCTAGATACATGGCAAAACGATACAAAAGTACTGTTGGCCAAAATGTACGTAAAGCTGGGGTCCAATATTCAGATCTGATAATATATTATTAAGCCTTATTAGACCCCTTTACTGCTGTTGAACAAAGCCAGATGTACGCAACCAGTTTGCAGAAAGATCTATGCTCCCTCGCTTATGACCAGCTATTGATTTTTTGATTAGAGCAATCTTGTTAGCTAGCAATTTACCCCAGATATATTGAATATGTTTTGCCTCAAAAGGAACATTGGTGAATGTGATAGCTCTGAATGACACGAGTGCGTTGGCAACAGATGCGCAGATACATGATGAGACACAACGGCCCACTAAAAATACATTTTATTGCTTTTGTCAAAGTGGGTTGTGCGGCCCCGCCCTACAGAATGACATGCTGCCGTATTTACTTCATGGGCAGTAGAGCGTGGAGTGACAACAGACCTCAAATGGCAGCCACACTGTTCTCCCGCTTGGTAGAAATGAAATTCTGCTGCCACACAGGCCCTTGAGGACCGGTTTGAGACTTCCGGTCTGTAACAACCAAAATGACAGAAGATTTACTTAGTCCACCCCAAAATATGCAAGTTCCTCCTTATCAATGTCAATCACATTGATAATTTCATACGTCTTGATAATAACTTTCCACCCTTCCAATGCTATATGTTATTTCAATCTGGAGAGAGTCAAACACACAAAACATAGTATTAGAATTGTTTGCTGATTGGCAGCAAGTAATCTGACACTACATAAATTACACATATGACACTGAGTACAATATTTTCAAGATTACATTTATTGTGCTGTAGCGCTTAGACCCCGGCAGAGCACTGCACGAGTGCAGAAGGGGAAAGAGATTAAATCCCCCAGGGCCTTGACCCTGGTGGTGGTAACTAGGAAAAGGATGAAGGAGCTCGCCGAGAACAAGGCGGAGATGGGGAGAAGGGGGGTTGCAGTGTGAATGAAGCTGCTGCTTGGATGAAGCATCTGCGTGATATGAAGCTGATGCGGGCAGTGCCTGATTTCTGCAGGTGAGGATTTGCGAGTGGCGCTGCGATGCGAGTGTGATTGACTGATTGTAGTTGCTGTTGGCAACAGCAGGCAAACTTTGAACGCTGTGAGCTTGGTTCTCCTGTCTTCCAGTCTGAATTTGCGCTTAGCTTCATAACATCTCAATGATTGTCTTCTCAATAGAACAGCATCTGGCCCCCCTGTCCTTTCCCAGGTATGCACAACTTGTTTTACATCTAAATTATTTAAACAGGCACGTACCTCGAGGCTTTTTGTTTTTACACAACCCTAACCACCATCCCTCTACTACATCTAAAAGTCTACACGAAGTTGGCTTGCTTTGATGTGGTAAACCATTCCAAGCAGAAAAGGAAGAACAAGAGGATGGTATCAACAGGCGTGCTGCTGGGAACAAAGGCAAGAGGCTGTAAAAGTTGTTGCACTTGTAGCTAGGGATGAAAGACACACAAAGGATTGCAATGCTTTGCTGCTTATCATTAAAACATAAGGTTTAGCGCGTCAGAAAAACTGTGTGGTATTAGGTGGAGTGCTGAATACAAAGACGTTTATCGCAAGCATGTGAAAACTTGTGGCAGAACCGAACTGTTCTGAGGTGAGAGTAAGTTGTGTTTGAAAAATGGCTGTAATTTTGGACCCGGAGGTAAGAAGTGTTGTTGTGTTGAATAACACAGTAGGATGACCTTTTTTTTGGCACATTGATGATACTACAGTACATAGGCTTAACTGCACGAAGGACTGGTGGGGTCATGTCCTCACCAACATTGGCCGAGCAGGGACCGAGCAGCACCAATATTTCCTGACACTTTGGCCACGACAAAACAGTGTTGCGTTTGTTGTGTTTTCAAGCCATTTAAACATGTGCAAATGGCTTTCTCTTATTAACTGGCCATCTCGCCTGTTGCTCAGTCTTTTGATGGCCAGAATAGCGGGGTCGCAATAGCTACTTGCTATTTACAAAAGACTTTTGGGGAAACTGGCTCAAAAAAAAGGCAACACAAGACAGGACATCCGTGGCTATTTCCAATTGCAGCACGTGATGCGGAGGTGACTTGAAATTTTGTTCAATTATTTCTATGATAATGATATTTGTTTGTAACACTCATGAAATTATATAAATAACATCACAATTTGTTATAGTCATGTTAATGTCATTTGCAGGGCAAAGCAAACATCATGTATTGGAGGCGTACCTCAACACCCCAGTATGTCCCCATCAACTTTGTTCATGAAGTTCCTCCCTTGCTATTGTAACATCTCAAGCTGCACTCACCATCCACAGGGCTGATGTAGTCTGGGAGATGTCCGGCTGCTGCCACTGCTGCCGCGGCCGCGGCCGCTGCTCCGGTCTGCATCAGAAGATCTCCGTACGGGCTCCGCTGACTCGCACTGGCCATCAGGTGGTAATACTCTGTGGGGTTAGCTCCAGGGGGTGGAGGGGGCAGGCTGAACAGAGCCCGCTCTTTCAGGTGTTCGTGAGTCACTGCCAGAGGCAAAGGAGATTGGGTGATTTGGTTAGATTTTAATACAGGCAATAAGTAATGTAACCAAACATATATCCACTATCAATCTATAATTGTGCTTCAAGTCTAACCAACCAGGAGAAATGTAACTGTTTTGGACAAGTTTGTAAGATTTTGAACAAACAAAAGTGGCTGTATGAAGTTGAGTCACTCTGTGGAGATCCCAAATGTACAGACCAGAATCAGAATCAGAATCAGAATCATTTTTATTGCCACGTAAGTAACAGGAGGTCACAGACTAGGAAATTGCTTTGGCTCAGTGCAACAGTCAAAAAGAGATAATAAAAATAAGAATAAAAAACACTTCTAAAGAATAAATTTAAATTTAAAATAGAGTTACAGTTACTATTTACAATATACAAGTGCACATGGTGCACACAATGTAAGGTGACAGCAGTACAGTGAAGTAAAGTGACGTATGATGGGCAGTAAAGTGACTTTATAAAGGGCGGGGGGACAGGTTAAGAAGTGTTCAAGAGTCCAACAGCAGAGGGGAAGAAACTGTTCTTGTGGCGGGAGGTTCTAGTCCTGATGGACCGCAGCCTCCTGCCTGAGGGGAGTGGTTGGAATAGTCCATGTGCAGGGTGAGAGGGGTCGGCTGTGATACGACCAGCTCGGCCTCGAGCTCGGGCGACGTACAAGTCCTGCAGCGATGGAAGGCTGCGGCCGATCACTTCCTCTGCAGAGCGCACAATGCGCTGTAGTCTCTGTTTGTCCCTGACTGTGGCTCCAGCGAACCACACGGTGACGGAGGAGGTGAGGATGGACTCGATGATGGCCGTGTAGAACTGCACCAACATCTGTGCAGGCAGCTTGGCTTTCCTGAGCTGCCGCAGGAAGTACATCCTCTGCTGGGCCTTCTTGATGAGGGAGCTGATGGTCGGCTCCCACTTGAGGTCCTGGGTGATGGTGGTGCCCAGGAAACGGAAGGACTCCACAGAGGTGATGGGGGAGTCCATCACGGAGGGTGGGGGTGGGGGGACAGTGCTCTTCCTGAAGTCCACAATCATCTCCACTGTCTTCTGGGCGTTCAGCTCCAGGTTGTTACCACTGCACCAGGACACCAGCCGGTCCACCTCCCTCCTGTAGGCGGACTCATCGTTGTTAGAGATGATTCCAATGAGGGTGGTGTCGTCCGCGAACTTGATCAGCTTCACGGAGTCGTGGCTGGAGGTGCAGTGGTTGGTGTACAGGGAGAAGAGCAGGGGAGAAAGAACACAGCCCTGTGGGGCTCCTGTATTTATAATCCGAGAGTCCGAGACATTCTTCCCCAGACGCACTCGCTGCTTCCTGTCCGTCAGGAAGTCAGTGATCCACCTGCAGGTGGAATCGGGCACGTTGAGCTGGGAGAGCTTGTCCTGGAGCAGGGATGGCAGGATTGTGTTGAAGGCAGAGCTGAAGTCCACGAACAGGACCCTGGCGTAGGTCCCCGGGGAGTCCAGGTGCTGTAGGATGTGGTGGAGGGCCAGGTTAATGGCGTCGTCTACAGATCTGTTGGCTCTGTAGGCGAACTGCAGGGGGTCCAGGAGGGGGGAGGTGAGGGACTTGAGATGGGAGAGAACCAGGCGTTCAAATGACTTCATGACGACAGACGTAAGTGCTACAGGTCTGTAGTCATTGAGTCCTGTGATCCTGGGCTTCTTCGGGACGGGGACAATGATGGAGGATTTGAAGCAGGCCGGGACATGGCAGGACTGCAGAGAGGTGTTGAAAATGTCCGTGAACACAGGAGTAAGCTCACTGGCGCAATGTCTCAGAGTGGCCGGAGACACGTGGTCCGGGCCAGGAGCTTTGCGGGGGTGCAGCCTCAGGAAGAGTTGTTTAATCTCTTTAGCGGCTATTGTTAGGCTGGGGGCAGGGCCGATGGGTGGGTCGTTAGAGTAGTGGGGGGTGGGGGAGGGAGAGGTGTCAGGGGCAGCATCAAAGCGACTGAAAAATAAGTTCAGATCGTCAGCTAGCTTGTGGTCGTCAGCACAGGGGGGGGCTTTGGGTTTGTAGTTGGTGATCTCCCGTAGGCCCCTCCAGACAGAAGCAGTATCGTTGTTACCAAACTGCTCCGTGTAGTCGTTCTCTGTGCCGGGACTTGGCTGCTTTCAGTTCTTTCCTGAACTGATATTTAGCTGCTTTGTAGCCGCTGCGGTCCCCCTCCCTGAAAGCAGACTCCTTTGCTTTCCTGAGCTGCCGGAGTTTAGCAGTGAACCAGGGTTTGTCGTTGTTATAGATGACCCTGGTCCTTGTTGGAATGATGCTATCCTCACAGAAGTGAATGTATGACGTCACAGTGTCCGTATATTCATCCAAACTATCTGTGGCAGCTCTGAAAAGGTCCCAGTCTGTAGATTCCATGCATGCGCGCAGCTCTTCCACAGCTTCATCAGACCACACTTTGGAGCTCCTCATTGCAGGTTTCGAGAGCTTTAGTCTCTGTCTGTAAGCAGGAACCAGATGTATCATGGAGTGATCTGAGAAGCCGAGGGCTGGCTTGGGAACAGCGCGAAAAGCTCCGCGCATGGTGGAGTAACAGTGATCCAGAGTGTTCTCCTCTCTGGTCGGGCATTTGATAAACTGTCTGTATTTGGGTAATTCCTGGCTCAAGTTTCCCTTATTAAAATCCCCCAGGATAATAATCAGAGAGTCCGGGTATAAGCGTTCCATACACAGTACTTGCTCTGCGAGTGCGCGCGTCCGCGCATGGCGGTATGTAAACAGAGGCAAGAATGAATGAAACCATTTCGCGCGGGGAGTAATATGGTTTACAATGAATGAAAAGATATTCCAGAGCAGGAGAACAGTGCTTGGAGATCACTGTCACATCGTTACACCAGTTTGTATTGACGTAGAAACACAGCCCACCGCCTCTGCTCTTCCCTGAGAGCGCACAATGGCGATCCGCGCGGAACAGCCCAAAGCCCTGCAGCTCCAGAGCGCAGTCCGGGATCCGCTCATTTAGCCAGGTCTCAGTGAAGCAGAGGACACAGGATGTGGCGAAGTCCTTGTTTCTTCTCGTCCATCTTATTGCCCAGTGAGCGTACGTTGGAGAGAAAAATGCCGGGGAGAGCCGTGCGCGCTCCTCTCCTCCTAAGACGCACGAGCAGGCCTCCGCGCTTTCCCCTTTTACGGGCCCACACTTTTTTGGCTAGAACATGAACTAAATCAGCCGCAGATGCCAAGAAAACAGGCAATAGGTCCATGGGAACGGTGGGTCGGATGTTCATAAGTTCCTCACGGGTGTAGGAACAGACCATGCAAGGCAACCCAGGAATATACAGGAACCTGAAGGCTTCTTGCAAAGAAGAATGTGCAGCTTTTACCATAAGAGAGGAGCCTCATCCACAACTACCACTGAAGACTCCAGGGGAAATACACGCTATTGAGAACTGGAGATCTGTTTCTTATGTCATTATAATTTTAAATAAGAAAAGTTTATCATTCTGCCTGGGTGTGTAAACTTTCGGCCAAGTCGTTACTAAAAAAGTACTGGGTAGCGGCTAAAGCGAGTCAATGGAAACACCCGCAAACGAGTCAAGTCATGTAGAATAAAGTCGAGCGCGTGGAAACAGGCCTTTAGACAAACTCTATGTAGCCCAGGGCTGTGTATAATGACACAGCCCTGGGTACAAAAGTTCAAACCCAGTGACATTGGGTTCCTGTCAGCCAGTAAATAGTCTCACTACTTCAAGTGAAAGGCCAGGGCCAAGATATCTGGTTAACCGACACCGATACCAATTGGATGGTACTGAGCAATATGGCCAAAGGATTTCAATTTCTATTTTTCCTTTTAGAACACAATTAATGCATAAAAATGCATGGATAAAAGTAAAAAAATGTATGATAAGTAGCACTACAATACCCCCATGTTACCACCCCTATCGATGCTCCATACCTGCAACCATAATACCCATTACTAAAACCTTTGCCAAGCTCATTATTATAGACTTGTATTCAGGAGATACTTTGACCTACATCCACTAACAGCCACATTTTGTTCAGGTCTGTTCAGAGGTCGCAGCCTTGTATAATGATACATTCTGACAAGTCACGGGAGCTCCAATCCATCATGAAAACCAACTAACACATTGCCGGACGTCTCTTTACATGCAGCTTGACAGACTGACAAAACAGAGTCGGTAGAGAAGAAAGGTTGAAAGAGAAGATCTCAACTGAGCCGACAAGTGGCCTGCTTTACAGATTTGAAGATTTGTGCTTTGCGTGCATGCCCCGGGGCGTGAGGCGTTTGATAAAAGATGTCTGATGTCTTTGAGGCTTGCTGGCTTGTGGGAAAATCTCTCCCGAGAGTAGGAGGATGCTGGGCCGGGTGAAAGAGGAGGTAGGCTTGAGAAGGAAGAACACATTCCAGGACTTGTGTGGTGTTGTTTTGGTCTTAAGCTTGACAGGTCGGAGTCCCATGCAGGTGCACGAGAGGGATACTGCTGAGGAAGGCCTTAAATGTGCAAAAGTAGTGTTGATGCAAAAAATATATCCGCTCACACCTGCAAGTGTATTGATTAATGACGACGATTCGCAATAAAGCCAATGTTTCACTTGTGAGTCTAATGTGCCGGTAAAAATAGTAATTTTATTTATCTATACATAACAACATGGTCAATACATTTTGTTCAATATCGGAAAATAGCCATGAATTTTGGAAGTTAACGCAATGTCTAACTGAATATCTTCTGCAATGAAATCACAACTACAAGCTCTATTTCACAAGCTTCAATTTCCGGTTGTCTTTATGGAAATAGTTGCATAAGTCGCTGAAGAGGTTGCACACATGGTGTAGAATGGTGAAAGAAAGATTTTTGAAAGAAAAAGACAATGTAATTTTTTTCCCCAGATCATCATTTGAGATCACCTTATGATAATTATTTCTGAAAGTCCTTTACTTGGACCACACCATGCGTTTGTTTTTGCTATGACTTCTAGACACCTTTATGAGAAAATAAGGAGACCATAGTTGATATGTGCTGAGAAAGATGTGAAACTTTGGGACAGTTTTTCTTTCATTTGGATTGGCCCAGGGATTAAAGAAGTTAAAGACTTGAAGCTGCCCTCCACCTCAATTTTAAACTATAGGCTCTTTGGAATGTTGTGATGCCACATGAATGCAACCTATTGATGATGTACATGACTTGTAGACGAAAAAACACCAAACATCGATGTACAAACTGTCGTGTATGGCCCCCATCTTGTTGTTTCTAGCTGAAAAAATGTTAGCCGGGTGCAAATTGGGTTGACTAATAGTAATTATAATGCATAGGTTTTATATAGCGCTTTTTTGGACACTCAAAGATGCTTTACATGTCATAATTCATTCACTCCATACACGGTGGTGATAAACAACTACTGTAGCCACAGCTGCCCAGGGGCACACTGACAGAAGCGAGGCAACCTGTATGTGCCATCGGCCCCTCCGACCACCACCAACCATTCACACACACATCAGACTCATTCTAGGCAATGTGGGTGAAGTGTCTGGCCAAAGGACACAACGGCACTTTGGCACTTTACAGCCGCAGCCAAAATGCTACTGATGCTACTAAAACCCCAGACCGCCTTCCACACTATTGCAGGCCCAACGGGGCCATGAGAACCGATTAGACTGCGGCTGTGTAAAAGGTGCGCAGGCCTATAGCGACTGGGGACTTTTCCAGTGCCAGATCACGTTACCTCCTCCACAAGGCAACATTTTCTATAAGTGTTTGTGCGTGTGTGACCTCACCACCGAAGACAAGAGAATCAGTAAAAACATTTGGTTCAAGTTAAACCCAGGCTCATGAGTTGTGCTATATCGGTTACTTTGGGCATTTGAAAAATGCGTAGCTATTTTCATTCAGACCGCAAGACCGGAAAAGCGGTCTTGATGCGTTTGAATGATCAATCTTTATGTATATATACATATATGTGATAGGGCTGTCAAACGATTAAAAGTTTTAATCAAGTTAATTACAGTTAATCGTAATGAATCAATATTTAATTAATCAATATTTTTTTGTAAATGGTTGTTTGAATGGAAAGATAAATAACAGTGTACATGAGCACTGTATTTGTTTATTATAACAATAAATCCACATAAAATGGCATTAACATTATTAACATTCTGTCTTAGTAGACACTATTTTTTCAGCACGACATATTCCGCATCTGTTAAAGCCTCTGTTTGATTTGCTCACAACATTTTACTTTTGGACACAACCAACATGAAATGGTGGTGCAAAGGAAAAGTTAGGTACCCCAGCTTTAATTTAGCGAGTTTCGTTGCGCTTTGGGAGAAGAATAGGGGGAGACGGAGTGTTTCTTGCAGCGCTGTATTTATTGTGTGCATTGGTCACGCACACAACAAGCAGAGTATGGTCCTGTGCGTGTATATGGCCTTGGGTACATGGCCACGTTACGGCGGCGCGCTCCCGTGTTGTTGAAAGCCGCTCAAAGCTGCTTGACACGGGAACCGCTGTCCAAAGCGGCCGCAGCTGCCCCAGAATGCTGCGGACTCCCATTCACAGCAATTGCCCTGCGGTCACGCACGCGGGGTGCCAGCCATTTGGCACATGCGTTAAAAGCGTTAATTTTTTCAACGCGATTAATGAAAAAAATTAATTAACGTGCGTTAACGTGATTATTTTGACAGCCCTAATATATATATATATAGTATTATTATGTTTTTTTTATTATTGCTGTTTTTAAGTCTAAGCTAAGCTATAAATAAAGCACATCTAAAAATTGATAACCTGAAGACTTGAAGAAATGGGTGTGCTTCTGCTCGGTTAGAATAAAAAAGCGGTGTGCAACCAGTTTGACACCGCTGATCTAAGATGTCAATGTCTTGAAGTTTCAGACCTGCTTTTTCAATAAATGCTGGTCTGGCTTCCTTCTCATGTATAGACTTTCTCTATTAGCTACTTTTGGTGGAAATTTCACCCTTATAAAACTATCCTTATGTTCCGGTTTGCTTAAGACTAGCTGTGAAAATGGCTGATACCTGTTGAAACGCTTCACCCCAAAACCACAAATTAAATTTATATAGTGTATATTTACGGCGGTCTGGATTTCACAAGCAGGCTTCAACACATGGCGAGCACCGAGGTACCCCTATCAGAGTTTAGACATGCTCGGCTGCCTGGCTTTATTTATGTTCTAGAAAACCTGCATTATGCCTGCGCTCCATATTTGCCTCTACTTTATCAGTGACACCATCTTCTCTTCTCCTCCTGAAAGGCTAGCGAACCATTTGTTTGCCAAAAGCGTGCACATGGTGATTTATTTGTGGCTAGAAGTTCTGCTGCTGTTGTTTTGGGATGTGGGCTGTAAGGAGTCGTCTGTCAGAATAGAGATGAGAGAGATTAGCAGACTAACCTCAGAGGTGTTTTGAAAAGTAAAAGTTTGTTTGCATTTCTGTGGTCAGTGTTTTTCATTGGAACCTTACAGAGGGTATTTATGTAGCTGCAGCTGCCCGGGGTTACCTGACGGAGATGTGGCTGTTAAAATACCACGTTTGCTCAATAAGTCATATGGCCCTGATTGAAAGAGACTAATTGGTGCTTGCAATTCACATAGCACTGGCCCCTCACGGATCCACCTGCAGGTAGTGAGTTAACCCATAACCTAAAGGCCCAAAGGCCAATGCTTTGCCAAAATGGCCCTTTATATGCTAAATCACAACAGCAGTCATCTCAGACGACGATTCGGAAACAACATCAAACATGCAATAATAACACATAGGAGCCATTGGTCCATAAAAAGCAGGAATACCAATGTCCATAAAGGTTAATAAATGTCCATAAATGACCTTAAATGTCCCAGACTCCCAGATCATTACTGTCCTTAGACCCACCTGCATAAGCAAGGAACAAAAGATTAATATATTCATAAAGGTCTTCCCTTGTTCTTCCTCTGAATGACTGCTATAGGCTCGGACTCAAAAGTGTGCAACGAACGGTTCTCTTGGTGGAGCTTACGGTCAGCCAAAAAAAGGTCACTACAAAGGTCTAAATGATCTTTGTGGATATTGCTACAAGTATGGCAATATTTTGTGTGTGTGCTTTGTTTTAAATGGATTCAAAAACATAATGTGTTGTCGACTTTACTGAACATGTGGTTTTACTTTATGCATTTTAAACATGGTTCAAGCCAAGTTAACCTTGAGTTTTTCCTCTATTTCTTTTATGAAACACCTTGCTACATTTAAATCTCGTTTCTTTTACCCTCGGCTTCCACTCCTCTAACCAAACTTTCATTTGTGAACAGAATTTGGCCACTGCGGCGCTTAATTTCCATAATTTCTGCCTCAGCCGCACATTCTCACAGGAGTCTCCTTGCCCAAATCCTTCTGCAAACTCAAATCACATATGAAAACAGTCGGACAGAAACCGCTGAAAGGTGCGTTCAGCGTTTTCCCCCCGCGCTAACGTACGAGGTGCCGCACTAATTATCGCTTTTGCTGGAGTCTGGGCAAACTCGGACCAGGCCCCAGTTCAGAGAGGGGCAGGACACATAAATTCTCAACTTGCTCAACTCTTAATCTCAGCTCTTTTATGTTGTCTGGTAGAATAACAGAGAGGAGACATTTTCCACATCACTGGCAGCTCGTTGCTCAGACTGTGCACAGCATACATCACCGGGAGACTAAATATTTCCATTTTGGCACACAGAGAATGGAGAACAGGTAGCGCAAGTGTTTATAGTGCTGCAGGGCATTGAAAGCAAGAGCAATGTGTGTGTGTGTGTGTGTGTGTGTGTGTGTGTGTTATAAGTCAAATGTGTCTAATGATTTGTTTGATGCAGCAATGACAGGGCAGGCGCCGAGTTGCTAGATCCTCAGTTAAACAGGTCGGGACAAATGGTGTTTGTATGTTGTGTCCCTCAGTTATTACTCAAAAGTTCCTTCTTACAAGTGGAAGGATATTTACTCAAAATAAAATGAAAATCACTTGAAAGACCTTTCACAATAATCACATAACAATTCAGTTTCTCTCAGCACTGTTATTGATTCCCCATTGTAAGATAAATAGTACTGATCTCTTTTATAAATGACCTAGGTAGATGTTCTCCTGTAGATTATCTCTTGGTTAGGTCCCCGTGAAAATATGTACTTGTAGATACTATTAATTTAGCCTTTTTATGTAACCATGAAGTCCTTTGACCATGAGTGTTTTTCTTTCCTTAGACAAATGCCTTCCCGAAAACAAAAAGAAAGCTATGCTCTTAGAATTATCACACTTTTTTCTTCATTGAAGGATCCATTTTCTCAAAAAGGTTATGTAAGTATTGTTAATGTATCCATGGAAATTGAATTTGGTTTACCTACACGTTTTGTGTCGGTAATGGATATGTATAGATACCAATCATAACTGTACACTTTGTTTTCAGACTAATCTCGCCTCGTAATGAGACGGTGACCTCCTATTTGCTTAACACAATATCTGCAATACAATGTGAACAATAAGTCCACATTTCCACGATGTTGATAAAGACGACATTGTGTGTAAGTGTTTTACTGTTTCTCCCTTTAACCTGGTTTTAAACATTGTCAGAGAGGAGCTGTCACTTTAGCTGTGCTACAACTGAGGTATTTTATATTTATCTTTGTTAATGTACTGGGATTATTTATTTTAATGCTTTCTTATTTTGCTCAGCACTTCGAGTTGCATAGTGTATGAATTAGACAAATAAACTTGCCTTACCATCGTACTTCCTGGTTCTGGTCAGGACTTGAGCTGCTGAATTTTGAATGTACTGCAGCTGTTGTTACAGTAGTCTAACCTACTGGAGACAAATGCATGGATAAGAATCTCCAGGTCTGCTTTAGACACTATGTTTTTGATCCAGGCAATGTTTAGATGGGAAAAAGGATTTGATTTGGCTAATAATATTTACTGATTCTTTCAGCCGCTGGAATCGAGACTGAGTGTGCTAGAAAGTGACAAAGTGGAACTCTGGAAGTCCGCCACGGTAGACCTAATGTCCAATGAAGAAGAAGGCGTTGTGGACGGTGTCTCTGGATGGATTGTGCGGTCGCAGTCTTTTCGAAAGCCGGAGTTTTCTGAACTCTGTCAAGCTGCAGTCCCGGTTAGAGGCGGCGCGGAAGTACAGAGCCACGCACATTAAGCGTCTATCTAGAACCCTGCCAAATTACAACCCCGAGGAGGCTATTGGACAGTTCAGAGTTGTAATTTTTTAATTACCTATGTGTGAGCATAAAGCTGTGTGTGTGTGTGTGTGTGTTTTAATAAAGCTTTCTTTGTATGAACATATTCCTGGAAAATTTTCATTTCTTCTATAAATAATACGAATATTTATATAAATATTATTACATTAATTATGAGGCAGGGTGACCAATAGTGACAGATCTGCTAGCCAATCACGAGAGATTATACTTATTTGAAAGTAGTGATTTCATCCAATGGGGAGTAAGCTACCAATGGGGAGTAATCCCACGTGGGCTGGCCACGTGTGATTTTTCAGCCAATCACGAGTTTGAAAGTAGTGGTATTCACCAATGCTGAATAGCAGTCTGGCCAGCCGCTGCATTCATATGCTAATTAGGACCATTAGCGCTCGGCGGCCGCAGTGTTTCGCTGCATTCATATGCAAAGTAGGGACATTAGCATGGTACGGATACGGCAGTTTGGAGGACAGGGCACCCTAACTGCGCCTTCTGAAAACTGCCTGAGATACCCGAAAAAGAGCGTGATTTCCTGCAGTTTAGGGTGACGAAAATCTAACTTTTCATGCAGTGGGACTGTCTAGAGAGGTCCTTCTTTTGGAAGATAAGAGCGTGTTTACGTATTTATGGAAAGGCCACTCTGATGACTTCCATGGCTAGCTCCAACTTGCCGTGGCTCCCTACTGACTTGCATTGAAAAGCAATCTCCTCTAGTAAACTCCTGGGGTTGATTCCACCTCCAGAGGGCCTTTCTGTGTGGAGTTGGATTGTTCTCTCTCTGTTTACATGGGGTTCCGCCTGGTGTTCCAATTTCACCACAACTAAAACGTTGTGTGCATCTCTTGTATGGTGACTCGGCTTTTATCACTGTGTGGAGTGAAGACATTTTTATATAGCTTCTTTCACAGACAGTCACAAAACGCTTTACAGTTAAAGATGACTAAGATAGTAAGTAAGTAATCTTTAAGTCTTTAAGTAATCTATAGCACAATGTTCAGAGATCAGAGAGTTTCATTTTCCATTCTCTCTGCCAACAAACACACTGGCGCATCAAAGCCCCTAACCAACACCATCTATTCACTCATTACGTTCAGACCTATTGTGTATGTTTTTAGTGGTAGGGGAAACCGGAGCACCCAGAGAAAACCAATGCAGACACGAGGAGAGCGTGCAATCTGCACTCAGAAAGGCCCTGTTCCGATCGGGACCCTGAACCCAGGACCTTATTGCTGAGAATTGTGAGGGGGCTGTGACTATAAAGTGCCAATCTGTTGTTATGGTCTTAGGCAAGACACCCACATCGACTAGAATGAGCCTAGTGTGGACGTGAATGGTTGGTGGTCCGAGGGCTGCCAGTCTGGTTGCCTTGCTTCTGTCAGTGTGCCCCAGAGCAGCTGTAGCTATAGCAGTAGTTTATCACCACAGTTTATGGAGTGAATTAATAATGCCATGTGAAGCGTCTTTGAGTGTCCAAAAAAGCACTGTACAAAACCCATGTATTATTATTATCAATACTTACTTTCTGTATCCGAGCAACCTACCCACAAAAACCTGTAATCATGGAGATTCCATGGTAAACTCTGGCTTCTGGGAGCAGATAGAACCAGGTCCTAGAAGGTACCAAAAAAAGTACCAAGCACTGGTTAAACAGGGCCAGTCGAAACGCTCCCAATCGGGGCAGAGTGGAGTAAAGTATTATCCAAAAGTAAAAATAGCACATAGAATAACTATGCACTAGTCACTCTTTTCAAACTTATCTTTACGAGGCCAGTGCAGTGCCGCATCCCAGCCAAAAGCACAAATAGGTTTTGCACGTCTCCCAGGATCTTATTCACCTACTTCCTCAACCACAAGCGCAAAGAATGGGCCATAAACGCAGAACAGACATGTTCCTGTCCCTTTTCTGTCCTTCAACACGGAAATTTGAAGAAGCCTGAACAAACAACAGCACACTTTGACGCTTGAATCTGCTGCAGCAGTAATGTCAGCTGTAACGAGGGGGCCCTCCGTCTGATGTGACGTCTGTGGGAAACCGGTGCGGAATGTGCTGAGTCTGCCGCTGCCTGAACAACATCCAGGCCACGTTTTACACATGTGGTTTGAAATTACTGAGGAAAATCTGTCTATTATCAGCAAGCCAATTTAATTTTGCATTTTAGTATATTATACCTTTCATCCGATTGGATTGAGATTTTGCGTTGTGAGGTTTAGAACTGAGAGGATAAGACGGAGGTTTTTTCACAAAGCCGTAAGACTGCTCCACCAGCCCAGGCCTAACTTCTAAATACTGTTCTGAACATCTGCTGGAGGTACATTCGAATTTTACTGCATATAATGTGTATGTGACGACAATAATGATAATAAGAAAATATGGAAAAACATTTAAAATGTTATTGGCTTGATATCATATTATTGTATTGCATTACACTCACATGATTGCATAAAAGTTTCTCTACAGCTTTATTCATTATTATTACTAACTTAACTCAAAGTGCCTAACAAAACAATATACAAACAATCACACAAGATATTAGTATAATGAAATAATCAAAGAATAATTAATCTTGTCCCCCCTCCAGCACATCAACAACGAGCACATCCACGGGGAGAAGAAGGAGTTTGTATGCCGCTGGGATGAGTGTTCCCGTGAGCAGAAGCCATTCAAGGCCCAGTACATGCTGGTGGTCCACATGAGGAGGCACACCGGAGAGAAGCCCCACAAGTGCACGGTGAGAGGGGCGAGAGCCAGGCATGTGTATGTGTGTGCCTGTGTGTGTTGTATGAGTGAGAGGGGGTGGCTTCGTCAAACCCCTTTTCAAATTACTTTCTATTTTCTGTTTATTTTATATTTTTCAATGTGCGATTGTGAACAACTTTTACATGGATAAATCATGATACACAAAACCAAATAGTGTGGTGAGAACACTCGGGGCTCAGCAGGAGGAGCGTGCCTTTGCGTAACGAAGCCGTAACTCCAAACAGGTGCAGAGAATAACATCCATGCTGCTGGGTAGTAGGGTTTCTGACCACATGGGTCAGTTCAGGACAAGCTGTGGGAATCGTGGAGGCAATCAACTGTGTAGTCTAGAAATGTACATGATTCCTGTGAGTTTGTGGATAAAGAAGAAAAGAAATTAAAGTCAATGTCAGTTACTTTAAAACTATTAAGCAAGAGTGAAATTTTTTGAAGCTAAGCACTGGTTATATCCGCCCATGCTCACTCCTATAGGCTCCTTTTTGGGCGACATAATTTCAAATCCTTAAGGCTCCTTGTCATTGGTTTAACAGTTTTCCTCTAGACAAGTCGGAAGATCAAAGTTACTAATGTTCTGATCAATCTGAGCGAGACTAGAGAGAGAGACCAGAGAGAGACTTGTGACCAATCAGAGCGTGACAAGAACGAGCCAAGTTTGTTTGATTAAAAAAGTTCAGGATCACAAGGGACACTGACATCTCCCCAAAACCTGAAAACTTTGTGAAAGCTGTAGGCCCCCTGTCAGCTGAGGAGAAGCCATTTTTGTCAACACTATGGTCTATGAGGAAATCTCCTTATAGCCCGTGTGGATTTAAGCTGCAGTCCTTTGGGTGGCCCCTTGTCCATGTGGAATCGGGTTTAAGCAACATAACCCTCCATATAATAGAATACATCCTTGCTCCCAAGGCCACAGTGACCCACTGTGAGCGGCTGTAAAGACGTTATCTTCTGAGGAAAACCATGACCTCACAGTGGGTCAGTTTGACATGCTCTCTAGGTCTGATGACCACACAGAAACCACCAGCCTGAAGATCATTTTATTAAACCTATAACCAGAAATTCTAGTTTACAAACAGTATTTCAAGCAGTGAATAGTATCTGGTTGTAAATAATCTAAATCTAGAAATGCCAATGGATGAGATCATTATTTAAAGTAGTCTCATACAATCTAAGTGCCATTGCTAATTCCAAGCAATTCACCCTTTTTTTGTAATTGTTACTTACCCAGTGAATACACGTCTGCGTGATTTTACTGCAGTCAGATGGCTGTTGCTCAGACGATCCCCATTTTCACCATCACAATAGACAGCCACTGTTCTCCTTTCGCTTGTGTCTTTTAGACCAATTTTGACATTTAACATGTTGAAAATATGTAACAAGAGAAGCAAGACCTCACCAACCCTGGATCCAGACCATAAACTGTATATTAGGAGTGCTGACGTCACCGTAGTGTTATCTGGATCTGGAAGAAGCCGATTTGAACATAAACCTATCTGGAGCCAATTTCCTAATATGGGCATTTTTTTTGAAGGGGTTAGTTTTGTGCCTTATCAGGTCCTGACGGTTGCTAAGGAATCTGACTGGTCACACCTTTTATGGCTCTTCAATGGATTTTATTACATACTTTCTTTGCTTGTTGCTTGACAGTTATACTAGATGTAATATGCTTTACCTTAATATGAATCACAATGTTTTGTGTTGTTTGATTTTCAAATAGTACTAACATACTTTAAAAGGAGACAAATTACAAACATTTACACAATTGTTCTTCAGTTTTGGTTGTTTTAGCTAATATTTGCAATTTCTAGTGCGTAATTTTCTCTGCTTACAAAAAATCACTTCCACCACCATGTCTAAAATCCTTTCCTCGGCTGTGCTTCAGGTTAGATCTGATCACAGCGCGCTCTCCCCTTTGCCACCCATCAGCTAATCAGACACATCTTTGAGAATTCTTTGCCGCCATGTTTTCTGTGTTGATAAATCACGAGGGGCTGCTTGTTGGATCTGTGTGAAGATCAAATCGCAGAGGCTTTTTTGAGGCCTTCAAAGCGTTGCGCTGGCTTTTCTGAATGTATTAGATGAGTGGTGGAGGCCATGCGGAAGGATGATCGGCACGAAGTAATTAAACTCTGCAGACAAGTGAGAGGTCTGTGGAGGGCTCCTTCTGAAGCCACAGACCAATGTTTTCTAATCTACGACCAACATGAATGACTTGGCCATATTTTCGAAAGTTATGAATGATAACATAACATAAAATCGTTGCTTTCTTATTATTTTATTTTTGTGCAGCCATAACTCACAACGGCAGAAATATACAAAGTTGTTGATTTGTCCACAACACATCAAAGAATCAACAATTTCTAACACAGGAAATGCAATAATAACAAACACATAGGAGCCATTGGTCCTTCGGAAGCAGGATAACCACTGTCCATAAATGTCAATGGGTGTCCTGCATCATCACTGTTCTTAGACCCTCTTGTAAGGAAAAACTCAAAAGCCACTGGGTTTTTGAGGAGAAAAAGAGAAAGCTTGGGGAGGCCCACAGTCTGTAGATTCAGGACACAGGACGTAGAACGAAGACGGAGGCTAAACATCCAGGACTGAAGAGGTTGGAAAACACTCATGGAGCTCATGGACAAAGTGTTGCTCCATCTTGCTCTGGTTCAGTCATTGTTTGTGTTCAGCTAGCTTATGTCCTGCAAACACTATGAATGATATCAACACCAGTCCACTTCTAATATGCAGTCTGTATGTTTCTGCCACAAGTTTGTGATCAGAGCGTGAACCTGTTTTAAAGTTTTTAAACTCAATCTAAATATAGTCAAAACATTTCCATGGTCGGTTTTTGTTAATAGCTCGATGAATCTAGATCTCATTGATTATGACCACACTTTTATAACAAAGACATTTGAAGAGCTGCTTGCCTGTAAAGGCCTGCATGGCACAGACTGCATCATGCACTGTTTATGCCCTCTGCTCGTTGGATGCTGTTGTTTAAACATAATCTCTGCTTGGCTCAGTGCTGCGCCACACAAAGCTAAAACGCTGGGTAAAAAATACCTATTATCTGCAAAAACTAAAGCGTGCAAGGCTTACAGACAATGGGCTCTGTGTTTAGTCTGTTGTTTCTGCCGCGCTGTACAAGCTGTAATTTGGTATACCTTCTGAGCTGTCATTGCAGAGGCTTTGAAACAAAAAAGATGTACTGTAAGATGAGCCAAAAATTGTTTGTAAATTTAGAAGATTGCAACTCAGATGATTATAAGGGGGAAAGACGCAAGTCTCGAATCCTTGCTTTTGAATCTTATTAGAGGAAAACGTGCAGTAGAAATTCCATGTCAATATTAGGGCATCATGAGTCATGTCGATAGGATTCATGAGGGCTTTTAATTAGATACGATTTGATATTTTTCAAAGTGATACAATATGGGTTTTCCTCTTATCTAACAAAAATACAACACTTTGAATGCATGTATTTTTTATTAATTGAAAATGACTCTTTCCCACCTTGTCTTTAGTGATTATTATTGAAAGTTTAGGGTGTTGCATCCGCTTCTTATTCCTTTAGATAGATATTGGTTTTAAAAGCCTTTGAAAATGTTGATGTGTGTTGCTCCATGTGGATGATGTGCCTGCAGTAGTCTGTTATAATGTTTTATGGAATGCTGGCTCTGACTCCCGTCTGTTCACAGTTTGAGGGCTGTGCTAAAGCCTACTCACGCCTAGAGAACCTGAAGACCCACCTCAGGTCTCACACCGGAGAGAAGCCCTACGTGTGCGAACACGAGGGCTGCAACAAGGCCTTCTCCAACGCCTCGGACCGGGCCAAGCACCAGAACCGCACACACTCCAACGAGGTATGCCACTACAAGCAATTTAAGCCTGAGTGTGTGTGTGTGTTTTTGAAAAATAATAACACAATGTATCACAAAAAATAATACAATATTAAAGGGACAGTACTTAACATTGATCTCAAATTACAGTTACAACTTATCGATGTGTCCCCGGATAGTAGTTCCCATGTACAGATAAAAAGCTGGACAAAAGTATAATGAGGAGTTGTTCTTATTTACTAGAATACAACTCCAAACAAAGTAATAGTACCACATGTTTGTTTCATAGAAACCAGGTGGCAAAAGTAGTGATGTGAGTACACAGTTTGTACAGTTTCTATCTAATCTCTAGCAGGTGGATTGCACCAGTAATCAGTGTTTAGGCGCTACATGTGTCACAGACAGAAGATTCTCACAACAAAAGTGTTATTGTATTGACTTTATTAGAGCACTAAGAGTGCATATTACATACTGTCCTTTTAAAACAAACCATGACCAGGACCTAACCTTGCCGTTCCTCATCCTTGGTCAGAAACCGTATGTGTGCAAGATCCCCGGCTGCACAAAGCGCTACACGGACCCCAGCTCTCTGCGTAAACATGTGAAGACCGTGCACGGACCCGAGGCTCACGTCACTAAGAAGCAGCGTGCAGACATACCGCCCAGACCTCACCCGCCCAAGGGCAGCGGAGAGAACGACAGCCACTCCAAGCATGGTTCCAATGGCGGAGACAGGACCGACCAAAGCATCACCTCAAGAGGAGAGGACTGTCTGCAGCTTAAGTCCATCAAGACTGAGAACTCTCTGGTCAGTGGCTTTTTAGGTTGCTTTGGTTCCTTTCCAATGACCAACAACCTATGATAATATCTGTAAAGTGTTTTGTGTACTTTAAGATCACTCATAGATCGAACACTCCACTAAAAGGTTGTGGAGGATTTATAATTGCTGCATAGACAATGGAGTCCACTGTGTTACCATTTTTTATCTAACTCTATCTATCTAAATCTAACTTACCACTAAGAAAACCACTTATTTGGCCCCTGACCAAAATGAGTGGAGACGCTTATACGTCTGCTACCATCACAAACGCATGCCACTACTGGAGTTATTTGAATGAAAATAAATATTTCTGAGCAGAGCTAACCATGCCTGCTTTAACCAACCAACTGCTTTCTTCTAACTGACCTCAAACCTGCCACTATCTTTCCTGTTTACCTCTCCTTATGGACAGACGACATTAAGGTGAGCTTCTAACACCTCTTTTCCCAAATGTCCATGCATGAAAACCTGCTTGAATCCATCAATTTGTGCATGTAAATGTGCAGACCGGTGTTTTTTCACTTCCTCCATATTGAGTCGTTTTTTTCACTGGCCGTAGCCCTGGCTGTCGGCTGATGATAAAAGTCATTGTCACATTAATATTTAAGAGCTGGGACGGTTTTAGCTGCTGATTCTGCTGAACAAAATAGTGCCAACATCAAGCTGTGATCAAGACTTCAGTGTAGCCATTTTGAATCAAGCTTGTACTGGATTGTTGCTTCACAGAACTCATCCATTATCCACTTGTTTTCTTGTTGTTAATTAATCAAAGTCATTCATAATACATGTGATTATGGCCTACATTGGTTAGTACAAAACTCGTCACAGTTGGAATGATAGAACTGCTAATTATATAATCCTAAAGCAACAAAAAACCCATCCAGATAGAGGCTTGAAACTTTGATTAAATTAGAATACGTTTTCAATTCAGCAGTCCAGGATCAATCTAGGTCAAATTTTATGTTTAATGGCGTTCTATGTCCTTATTGCTTATTTAATTTAATTTTTAGTGGTACAAACAAACCAACAAGGGTTTGCCAATTACATGATTAGCATACAACAACATTTCAACGCACATTCCAGATGTTCCAGATGTAAATCACTACAGAAGCTGTATCGGAGGACAGCAACAGATCAGAGAATCAAACAGTTTGAACACAGGAAATGCAATAATAGCAATCACATAGGAGCCATTGGTTCTTAGGGAGGCGCATGACTACTGTCCATAAATGTCCTTAAATGTCCCAGATCACCACTGTCTTTAGACCCTCCAGGCAAGGAACAACTCAGAAAAAACAGTGGGGAAAAAGTGACAAACCTCTGGCGCATTGAGAGAGGGATCCGCTCCCACTGACTTACAAGCCTCAATTCTCCACTTTAAATATTCTCCCCATCCTAAACAAAATCTGTGAGAATTTAGTTTTATAATAGAATGGAATAACTTAATTGATGATCTATCATGAGTGTTTGGATTACACACAGTAAAAAAAAAGAAAAAAAGTAATTCAATAAAAGTCAAGTTCAGTGCAAATATAAAGTTCAGTTTAGTGCAGACAATTAAAAGGTATGGTGCTCTTCAAGCATTCAAGGACATATATACAGTATAGAAAGATGTAAGAAAAAAACACAGAACAGTGAATAGTGCAGTCAAAAATAGAGGTCTGGGGCTCTTACTGTATCTTGTGAAAAAAAATCCTTTAATACAAGCCGTAATTTTGCCTGCTTCCCATCAATAAAACAGGGTTTACTCTTTTGTTTTTACCAAAGCTCTTTTGGTATTTGATCTCCAATATTGATTACATATTTCCATCTACCAAGTTTTTACTAAAGAATCTTGCCTCCTCTCTGCAGACGTATCACTCCAGCCCTGGTGGCCACTCGTCATGTAGCAGTGAACCATCGCCTCTCAGCAGCACCAACAACAATGATAGTGGAGTAGAGATGGCCATGCACAGCGGGGGCAGCTTCGGAGACCTGAGCGCCCAAGACGAAGGCCCCATGATCAACTCCACTGTCCAGCTTGGGGGGCAACACGCCGGGGTGGGGCTACAGTTAAGGAAAGCGATGCCCCATGGTTCAGTCACTATCAAGCTGGAGAATATCAAAATGGAACGCTTAAAGACTGTGAGGGACTCCTGCCCATGGAGCAACTCTGCACCGCAACCTCCGCAAGGCCAGCACAACATCAAGCTACCGGCCATTCCTTCTGTTGGTGAGTATAACAGCCAAAATGTTATTGTTCTTTTTGTCTCTATTTTGAGCGTTTTTCATAGTTTAAGAATCCTGCAGATAATAGGGAAAACAAAAAATACAATGATTCTGATTCTGACATTGTTATTAGATGTTTTTCCATATTTAGGTAATTCTAACTGATGCTGCTGCGCAATATTTAACACTATTTCATTGCCAGGTTCCTTGCTGGAGAATTCAAACCTCAGTGGCCAGTACCCAAGCCAGCGCCTCAACGACCCATCCACGTGCGAGGTGACCCTTCTGAACCAGCTGAACGAGCGGCGGGACAGCACCACCAGCACCCTCAGCTCAGCCTACAACCTCAGCCGTCGCTCCTCCGGGATCTCCCCATGCTACTCCAGCCGGCGCTCCAGCGAGACCTCCCAGTACGGCATGTATCGCCACAACAATATCAGCTCTGCCGATTCCTATGACCCCATCTCCACTGACCTCTCGCGTCGCTCCAGTGAGGCCAGCCACTGCGGAGGAGGAACTGGAAACGGAGGTCTTCCAAGTTTGTTAAGTCTCACCCCAGCGCAGCATTACCGCCTCAAAGCCAAGTACGCTGCTGCTATTGGAGGAGCCCCTCCGACACCACTGCCCAACATGGATCGGATGAGCTTGAGAACCCGGATGGCTCTTTACAATGACTCTCAAGAAGGCCAGTCCCACAGTATGCACCATCTGTCTAATGGGGCAGTCCCGCGAAGGTGCAGCGATATTGGGTACGGCCACCAGAGCATGATGCCTCACGAAGTCCCCAACAGCCTTCCACGTAGAGCCAGCGATCCTGTCCGCCGTCCAGCTGGGGATCCCAACGCCTTCCCGAGAATGCAGCGCTACAACAGCATGACCAATATGAATCCCATGGCTGTTCAAGATCGCCATCAGGGGTTAGCTTATCAGGGCTACACTCGCTCCGACGGCAGCCTCCAGCGGTACCCCTTCGCCCCGCGACCTCCGAGCATCTCCGAGAACGTAGCTATGGAGAACATGGCCGTGGATGGCGCTATGGCCGGGATGGAACACAGCGGAGAGGATGACATTGTCCTTCCAGATGACATGGTGCAGTACCTCAGATCTCAAAACCCGGGTTCAACTGGACAAAATCCAAACTTCCAGGCCAGCAACCATTCTCAGGGCTACCAAGGCATCATGCCCCCGCCGCCTGCATCTCATTACTCACAGAGAAGGATGGCTATAGTAGACACTGACATGCAACCGTTTGCCAACTCTCAACAACCGCTAGCTCACCAGATGAAGAAAAACAACATGCCAGTGCAGTGGAACGAAGTTAGCTCTGGGACTGTGGATACGACGGACAAGCTCTCCAAGCAGCCGCATGCCCTCAGGGGGAACCTTGCAGTCGTACAGCAAAGGCACAATTTTGGGTCCTTCTCGACTGGACAGGGGCTGAGCAGCAACCAGCAAGTGGCGCCAATGAGCCAGAATATGTCCATGCAGGGATACACACACCCAAACAGCCAACGGCAAATAGGCCAACAGCCTCAAAGGCAGTGCAATAATCCCAACCTTGCCGAGCAAATGAGTCCTCAGCAAGGGTTTGGCCAGGAAAATATCCCAATTTCTGGTAGTACGAGCATGAGAGCAAACAGGAATGGTATGGAACTGCCAAGCTGCCGGGCAAGGACTGATGCTTATCCTCATGTTAACCAAGATAATGGGTGCAACGCTGACCCTCAACAGCCAAATATGAACGGAGGTCGAGTTATGATGCAACCGAGACCTCCAGCAGAGCCCAGAACAAGGCACGTTGGACCTATAGTGAACAGGATTCCCAAGATGGAGATGAGTCCGTGTCGAGCAAATGACACCTCCGAGGCGAGTCCAAAGAGGCCGAGCGGGTCATTGGTCCATAATTCGAATAACATCTTCTACACAGGGCAGGTCCACATGTACGATCAGGCAAGTTTTGACGCACCGATGTCCCCCCAAGCCGCGGTCAACCACGCCAATGTTCCGGGCAACATGGCTTCCCCGGGTGTCAACCAGGTTTCGAGCAGCACCGCAGACTCTTCGACCAATGGGGCAGCCGAGCACGCCCAGATTGACTTTGACACAATGCTGGATGACGGGGACCACTCCAGCCTCATGTCGGGTACCCTGAGTCCGGGGCTTCTGCAGAGTCTTTCCCAGAGTTCCTCTCGACTCACAACTCCACGGAACTCAGTGACACTGGCGTCCGTACCGGCAGGGATTGGTAACATGGCCATCGGAGATATGAACTCCATGCTCACGGCGTTGGCAGAGGAGAGCAAGTTTCTTAACATGATCAGCTGAGAGCAACCACAGACCTCACTCCTCCATCCAGTCTTAACTTTTACTATGTCAGGATTATATGAAAGGAAGCACTGACTGAACGTTTGTGAAACGTTTTGATATTGTCCATAGAAATAATGATGCTTATGTTGTAACGTGTACTTCATATACTACAGCGGAAAATATAGTATAGTGTTAAGAGAATCATTCTCATTTGTTAAAAAGCCATACAATATAGCTCCAAATATTCATATCATAGGCAGGGAAATATGAACACTATTCAGTAATTGCCCGAGTGGTAGCCCTTTCTAAAGTGGTGCACTGAAAGCATTTCACAACGTGCCTTGCTTAAGATGTCAAGGTCGAACAAAAAAGAAAAAAGAAACTACCAGGAAATTGACATATTGTAGATAGCATATTTTTCTCTCAAGGCATTTCATGTACATTTATAGATTTTTACTGTATGTTACTGTGTTTAAATTATATTTAACTTACAGTAAAATGTTTAAACTATGGCTGTCCATGAAGAGCTGAAGGTTGTTCTATAGACACATATTGTACTGTGTATAATATGCTTATAGGTGTTGGCCCATTGGAATAGTTTCTCCCACCGTCTGGTCAAACCTTTGAATGTGAAAGGGACTGTTGCAAATCCTAAATTGTTGGTCCCAAAATGGCATTTAAGCAAAAGAAACTGGTAACTGATTCTTTTTCAGAGAATGCGCACTTACAAGTACAACGTCATAATGTTACAATCCTCACCAGTATCGGTGACAAGCTAGGTCAGTATTTTATAAACATGGCTCCATACGATTATGGTTATGATTATTCAGCTTACAGTCATTTTTTTGTCATGCATAGAAAAAAAGAATATCTGTTTGAATGGACTCACACTACAGTAAAAACCTGTTTTCTTATTGTACAAATGGAGCCTATTGTTAATAATCAAGAAGTCAATATTGTGTATGTGTGGTATGTGTTTACTGAGCTCATTAGCACCATTGACACCTGTATGAGAGGATCGATCTTCAAGTGCCTATTGATGCTCTTGAGGGTGGTAGGTGCATGGGATGAAATGGAAGCAGGATTATTTAGTTCTCACTAGGGATGGGATGGTATGAAATGTCTGCCATATAAATATTGTTACAAATATGACCACAGTATTAAGGAATATAGCAAAGTAGCAGACTATTCATCATGAATGAATCCAAAACTTTTCAAAAACGTTAAAAAGTTGTTCTTATTATTTTGGCATCTAAGTTCCCAATAGAGAATAGATCGAACTATTGTATGTTGATTTTGGATACTGTTTGTGGCATGCTAGACCTATAAATAATGAAACCAGAACAGGTGATTTGTGGACTGTTGGTGATTGACTTTTCTTCCCTCAAATGTTGAAATAAAGGAGCTCTATCCTTTCAATATTTTGGTTTTTAAACATGACATCATTTCTTTGAGTGTTTGTGTTTCATTCTAACAGTTGAAATAAATAAAAAAATGCTTTAATAAGAGAAAGATGACATAACATTCCAAATTAACTTTTCACAGCTGTTGGAGCATGGTTAAAATGGGTCACACCCAAAACCATTCAAGCTGATGTTTGATGTTCACATGCAGATATAACTGAATCCCAGAAACTGCTACCTACTATACCGATATACTAATCCTGGGGTACCAATTTTCAAAAACAGTCCTCTTCTATTACTAGTTTTGCTTTTTGCATGTCTCAGCTTTATCAGACCAAAAAGTGAAAACGAGAGGACCGCCCCCACTTACCCAATATGCTCTCAGCCCAAAAGCATTAAATACTGACTCACAGGGCTCTTTCTCACGTATGGAAAAGATGACATGTTTTCTGATTTGTTCACTACTTGACTCTTTCTATTGGGACATACAGCATGTATTATATTTGAAATACCCCAGGTTTAAAACACTTTTATTTTATTTTATGACACAATTCAAGCACCTAATGTCTTCTGTATCAACCCATCCCCAGTACTTGCAATGTAAATGTATCCGCGACAGCCCCAGTTTAAACTTGTTGTACAGCATTATGCTCCACTGATATGAAGTGTTTTTAATGACGGCTGGGGCTCCTTGGGGGTTGGGACTGACGGCGTTGGATCTCTGCTCCCCATCAGAGGCGTCACTCCTCTGCGGACTCGTCTCACCAGGGTAAACACACGGAGGAGGACATACGACCAAGCTTTCCAACCTTGTGCGAGACGAACCGCATTAACTGAAAGAATATACAAGTACCTCTGTGTGTTCTTGGCCCTAATTACCACATCCTCACCCAGCCTCCACTCCACGCCTCCCCTGGGCGCGCCACGGGTCCACCAGGAAGTGACTTTGATTTTGGACAGGATCTGCCAACAGGCCCCTCAGATTTCTTTATGTTTGATGCATTTCTAAGTAGCCTTTAAAAGTGTTAGTGTTGTATTTTTTGCCGTCGTCGGCTTTTTCCGCACACGGCTTTGTGTGACTGACTGTGTACATAGCTCTTGTACATTTCAAATAAACTATTGTCTTTGTTCTTTTAAATCTTGCCTCAAGTGTTTTGTCCTTTTTGAAATTACAGTCCTCCAAAGCGCGCATTAGATCAGCCACCAGCTTGATCACAACAGCAGTTGTCTTGGAGGACTTTACAAAGTGGTCGATTCTTCAAAAACAGATTAGAGACTCAAACAGTTCGAACACAGGAAATGTAATAATAACAAACGCATAGGAGCAACCCTCCTGCATCGGCAAGAAATTACTCAAAAACCAGTAGGAAAAATTGAGAAACCTCAGAGAGGAACACATTGAGAGAGGGATCCACTTCAGCCCCCAGGACTGGGACGGGGACTGAGGCTGTCTCCCAGGTGGAGATGGGGGTGCAGCTCACGAGTCTGGGCTGGCATATACTATACTATTATTATGTTTTGAATATTTATTATGCACAAAGATGTTTTAGTTTTCAGATTAGAGACATTGACACATAGCTACACATCAGCTTAAGTATTATTAACTATCACCATTACACTACTACAACCATGAACATCTCATATGCACATAATGCACATCATATAGAGTTCTTGCCTGGGGCCTTTTTCAGTAAAGGATTTATACTACTCTACTACTATAATAGGACAAGAATGCTGCATGGCAGCAAAAAGTCTGATGAAGTTTTCTCAAACACTTTACACGACACTAATCTAAATTATTTTAAATGATAAGCAACATATAAATCTCTGGGAAATTAATCCATCCATCCATTTGCTTATGCTTTATCTGTTGCGGGGGCAGCAGTCCAAGCTAAGATGCCCAGACTTCCCTCTCCACACACTCTTCTTCCAAATAATCCAAGGGAATCCCGAGGTGTTCTCAGGCCAGCTTAGAGACAAGGCCCCTCCAGTGTATCCTGGGTCTTCCATGTGGTCTCTTCCCGGTGGACATGCCCAGGAAGGGGTCCTGGAGGCACCTTAAACAGATCACGAGCTACCTCAACTGGCTCCTCTCGACATGTACAAGCAGCAGCTCTGCCTTAAGCTCCTCACCCTATCTCCAAAGGAGCGTCCAGCCACTCTGCTTGTATCCACACTATATATCTGCTTATTTCTAGGGAAATGTGTTTACTTTTATACTTATATGGGGAAAAAACAAAACAAGAAAGCTATATCACATTTGAAGATTTATTATTTTTTATAAATTATTAAGACACACAAGGCCATGGTTATGTATTAGAGAAAGGTGACTTGCCCTCTGCTGGTGTAGAGGTCCGAACTGTCTCTCAGGTCTACACTATTGGGTGGATGGAGGGTGACATTGACAGATGGTCGGTGCAGTGTGTACAGTGAAGTGGTCGCTGTAACCGACTGTTATGGTGGGAGGTAGCAGCGTCTGCAGTCAGAGCTTTACCATATTCTTTGTTCCAAGAGTCTTGTAAAAGAGGAAAGTTGTGAACAAATCAGGTCCCAAACATTCTGACTTCATCTTATCAGGAAACATTGTGTCTTTGAGAGTTAGAGTATTTGTAAGTCAATCATTCTTTGGGATGAGCGCTGTTTGGGCGAGTGAGGGTGGTCCTTTAACTTTTCGATCTGGAAAAAGTGGATCTCTTCATCTGTGTTAGATCAGGATCATCAACCATGTATATATGAAGGCCCTTGAACCCTGTAAAAGTATATACTTGCTCAGGATTCTTTAGGGCTGTGCATGTATTTAGGAAGAAATATTAAAAATCCATTTGACTTTTTTTGATTTGAGGTGATCTACAGCAACATCAGGCATGCATTTTGTTTTTATGGGTGCACCTTTTTACTTGCCAGAACAAAATTAGAATGTTTCTTTAGGCTGGTAAAGACCAATTCATGTTTTTAAATACAAAGTAGTCGTCTCTACAGAGGTATTCAGAAGGATTACATTGCCTTTTGTTACCATGGGAAAAGAGAAAGACTATGGACTTCCTCTTCGGTCCATTCTTTTCAGTGCAAAATTCAACAATACGTCCCAATTGTCTTGCTACCATTACCAATTACCACTGTCCTTAGACCCTCCTGTATCAGCAAGGACATTTTTTAACCATTTATCGTCCAAACCCATGAGAAGCAGACAGAACGCACATGCCGCACTTTCTCAACTTGGATGCCATGTTCTTTGATATTCGGTCGGACAGCTCGGCTTGAGGAAAAGCATCTGCAAACATAAAACGGCCTGAGATGAGAAAATCAGGGCGAGATCGAGACACTAAAGGCGATGCAATAGATCAGGGGCAAAGATGCAAAGCGGCGGGGAAAAAAGAACAAATCCGTTTTAATTTGACAGCACATTCAGCGGGGGACTGGTTTGGAAGGGCGCACGGGCTGATTGCTTTTGCCAGCGGAATTCCGTATTCTCTTAGAGCGCGGACGGCAGCAAAAACAGCCCCGGGGCAAGAAGTCTCAGCAGAGCAGAACAAGAGGTTAGCGAGGCAGGCAGGGGATCAGACAAAGCACACTGGGGGGTGAGGAGGGGTAGGAGGTGTACGCTAACCTGTTGGA